TAGCAACAGCACATTGCTTGGATGGCTTTAGAGACTGATCAACTATTACACCAAGATCCATTTCCTTCATAACACTGTTAAGGTTATTCCTATCCAAATTATATTTATAATTCAAATTATGATAACCCACAAACATTATCTTGCATTTATTATAATTAAAACACATCTGCCAATTATTTACCCAACTCACTAAATGATCTAAATATTTTTGTAAATCAGCAGCATCCTCTTTACAGCTAGCAACACCCAAGACCTTAATATCATCTGCAAATTTAAGTAATTTATTGACCATTCCTTCATCTATATCACTGATGTAAAGCAAAAAGAGCAAAGGTCCTAAGATTGAGCCATGAAGTACCCCACTTGAGACATTAATCCAGTTTGACTGAACTCCATTTGTAACAACCTTCTGCTTTCTTCCATCCAGCCATTCTTCTATACCTTTGCTAACTTATCCTCCACACCTAGAGATAATTTTCTTTACAAGCCTTTTATGTGGCACCTTGTCAAATGCTTTCTGAAAATCTAGATACACCAAATCTACACTCATCTACATAAGCAGTAACCTTTTCAAAGAATGTTAAAAGATTTTTAAGGCAAGAATTTCCCATAGTAAAACCATGTTGACTATCTAATAAAATTCTAAACTTTGCAAAGAATCTTTTAACAGAATTTCCAAAACTTTTCTTACAACTGATGTGAGACTAATGAGTCTATAAATACTGGGACAATTTTTATCATTACCTAATTTCCAATCCTCTGGTACCTGTCCACTATTCAAGGTCTGACAAAAAAAAAACAGTAGTAAGTGGTTCATGTATCAGACCTTTAACCTCCTTCAAAACCCTTGGGGAAATATTATCTGGCCCAGAAGCTTTATCGTTCTTTAAACTTACCAATTTTTTCTTAACCAGCTAAGAATTAATGCACTCCATCTATTTGGATCTTATTTCCATTTATGAGCTGTTTAAATGTGATATACTGCTTAGATCTACGTTAGGCCACAAATTTGATTCTAAACAGAAGAGTTATCACAGACCAGTTATATATACATGTGGTTATTAATTCACATGTGAAATTAGGACATCAATATACACACATGACCCTTCGTAAATTTGTGAAAACTCAAAGGTTATGGAAACCATAGCATTACGGGATATGTATGTGTGCTGCTGTAGCCAAGTACCTAACCAAAATTACAAGCGACATGAAAACAGCCAGCCAATCCACTAAACTGCTACAATCCAAACTAGTACTATTACAAAAGTAACTTAATAGTAAAAACATTCAGCATTCTTCCAGTGTTTAATTTTTTTTAATTTATGAGATTACTTATTAGGCAAGTAGGCTTATTTTCATATGTAATGTATATTTTGAAATGTATTTTAATCAGTTATTCTTTATTTATATATTAGGAATTTCAATAATATGCAACCTTGACACTACTAGTACTAATTTATTATTCACTATTTGGCTGGCAAGCTGTTTAAAATACTAGAGGTTTTCAACTGAATATTTCACAAGAATAAATTAGTAACAGTGGCATCCATGATGTGAATTCCTGATCTTCCTGTATAAATTTAAGTATAGGAACAGTGTGTGAACAAAATTTAAAAAATTTGGAACACCATACGTATAACATTAGGGAGTTTCAGTGATATTTACATTATGAAAATAAAAACATTCACAAACCATTGGATTCCACAGTCACAAATTAGTAGATTTACACTGCAAGTTCAATTATTTAGTTCATAATTAATGAAAAACAATTAAAATCATACCTGTAAATAGATCTTTCACTTCCCATTGGAAAAATATTAGCAAAATGTGAGTGATTTATCACGTTACTATCCGTTTCACACTCATACGCGTATTCATATCATATGGATAAATAAAATGAAAATTGTCAACAACCAATTGTTAATAATGAAGGATGAGCTTACCTATGTAACTATGAAAGAATAAATGAGATTTTGTAATCACACTCGTTTTAAAGTTGAAATACCATGATTGACATGTATGTATCAGTAGCAGCCTCTAACCATTCCACTTCATGTCATGATGTAACTGATATGTCGTTTGTAACCACTCACAATGACATGACATAAAGCAACATGTTGCCAGGGCAACATACAGGCTGTTTACAATTCCCATTTATCATTCTTTGACATGCTGTCTGTTCAAATCGGACAGACATATCTATGTATCGGTTTATTCATTATGTAGTCTGCAACACCAAGTTTATTGTGTACCATTGTTTCTATCAATTCAATAAATATAAATAATTTTAAATGGTTATAAAGTTTTGTGTGTGTGTGTGTTTTCAAATAGTAAATGATTCTGGATCCAAAAAACTGGCCAGACCAAAAAAAGAGCACGAAGAGAGCTATGGTTTAATATAACAATGATCCATATTGATCCAGCCAATTTGAACCAACACCCTGGTATTGGTTTTAACTTTCGCTCGCTGACTTTAACATTCTTCGTGATGTTTTTTAAAGCCAATTTCAAACTTGTGTGGGCACGAATGCCTTGAAATAAATCATGCATATTCAGCATGTATTAGTGCTGTAGACATTTTCCATTTGTTGTACAATAATTAGTATTTTATTTATGCAAGATTTATATATTTCTTTTATGACTGTAATTTAGCATTCACACACTTCTGTGGCCGGGAACTATAAAACTTTGGGGGGGGGGCTCCCTATTTCTAGCATTAGCATTACATGTACACCACAGTTTCTAAGGGTAAGAATTACAGTTTAGAAGGGCATATTGGTTGTTTATTATTGCATAACTGCTGTAAATCTTATTCTCAGATCTAGCATTTCAGGCCAAAAATCCAGATTCTAAACAGAAGAGTTATCACAGTCAGTATTGTTGACCAGTTATATATACATGTGGTTATTAATGCATATGTGAAATTAGGACATCAATATACACACATGGCCCTTCATAACTTTGTGAAAACTCAAAGGTTATGGAAACCATAGCATTACGGGATATGTATGTCTGCTGCTGTAGCCAAATATCTAACCAAAATTACAAGCGACATGAAAACAGCCAGCCAATCCACTAAACTGCTACAATCCAAACTAGTACTATTACAAAAGTAACTTAATAGTAAAAACATTCGGCATTCTTCCAGTGTTTAATTTTTTTAACTTATGAAATTACTTATTAGGCAAGTAGGCTTCAGTTTATATGTAATGTATGTTCTGAAATGTCTTTTACATTTTAGTTTTACTCAGTTAATGATTATTCTTTATTTATATATTAGGAATTTCAATAATATGCAACCTTGATACTACTACTACTAATTTATTATTCACTATTTGGCTGGTAAGTTGTTTAAAATACTAGAGATTTTCAACTGAATATTTCACAAGAATAAATTAGTAACAATAGCATCAATGATGCATATTCCTGTATAAATTGAACTTTAACTTAAGTATATGATCAGGGTGAACAAAATTAAAAAACATTTCGAAACACCATACATATAATTATAACATACACTTCACCACTTCATGAAGCCTAGTCTTCTTCTTATTCAGTTATTGATTTACCTTTGTCAAGAGTTACTGATGAGAAGTAGGACTCCCCGAAACTGGTATAAGTGAAAAATCGAATATATTTGGTTTCACATTAATTTTTTGGGATCAAAATTAAATTTAGTTTTGCTTTAGAATTAGCCTAGCTTTATTCACTCCACACCCAATTGTTTATTAACAATGGAAGACCTTCAACCTCTAGCGAGGTTTTGGGTATGATAATCATACTGTAAACAGTATAACAACAAAGAACTAATAATAGTGGCGAAAAGTTAATATAAATATCAAAGTATTAGTAATAATATTAGAAGTAGTAGGCTTAACAAAGTTTTAAGCACGCGGCAATGGCGTATAGTCTTAAGTTAGCTAAACAAAGAAAGTTAACTTACTACTACTACTTCAATTTACCTATACTAATACCTTAGCCGCTACTTAAGCAATTTACAAAACTGTTATAAAGAACATGAAATTTATAAAACTGCTGGATAAACCTTTTAAAAAAATATCTACTTCGTAGCCCTAACAGTTTAATTTACCTGGTTACTTCTCTCACAAAAAAAAAACCTAGTCACGTGATCGTTCGGTGACGCAGTTAATCCTTAAACTCGGCTCTTAAGTGACGTAATAAAGTATCTACTTTATACATTTGTTATTAGTTGTATTTAAGGCACTGCTTCAGAAATGCGAATACAAACAAGACCTTCTAACTAATATTGCTAATCTTTCCTTTTTTTGCAAAATCGAGACAAACTTTCTAAACATCTTAATGACTAATCATACAATCACCAAGTCAAGCTAATTATTAACATAAATAGATATAGGTTCTAAACATATGAATGGAACATGAGTGTGCGTGTTTTCTTATCTGTAACTAATACACATATATATGTGTGTGTGTGTTTGTTTGTAATTAAGCACAAACTACACAATGAGCTATCTGTGCTCTGCCCACCACGGGTATCGAAACCCGGATTTTAGCGTTGTAAGTCCACAGACTGTGCTACTGGGGGGCGTGTGTGTGTGTGTGCGTGCGTGTATTTTATTTCATTTTAATTTTTTTCAGAATATACTTGAGAACTTGTTGTGGATATTCTAATAACGCCACTGAGTGATAGTTTATAGCGTTACTAGTTCGAAAGATAAAAAACATTGATTTTAAAAATTCAGGCAGTAGAAGAAATATGTATATTAACAAATAAAAACATGTACGAAAATTCGCCACTAGCATAACTTATAATAATTACACTAATCCAAGGAAGAGCGATGGAAAAGTCAGAAATTGTTCTGAAACTGAACATTTTACATTTTCATTCTCCTCTTTTAAGTCTCAACATTCCCATTACAAATGTTTCTGGTTATACAAAACTTTCTATTCTAAGTTCATTTTATCATTTGTAATTATTGTTTTGTGTTTTCTGTAGGAATTTCCTAATGATGGATTGTATATATATATTCACAGATATCCAATACATATGTTATTATTCGTCACTTCTGTGGTGGCGTTCTATTAAAAACGTAAATATAAATCTACGTTTTCCTCTCACATTTCTGTATATTAAAAATCATAATTTGAGCGTTGCGATTATTGATTCTTATACTTAAGATCTCTGTGGACTTACAACGCTAAAATCCGGGTTTCGATACCCGCTGTGGGCAGAGCACAGATAGCCCATTGTATAGCTTTGTGCTTATTCACAAACAAACAAACAATTATTTAACTTTTCCTTTTTTCTTCTAAACTTTGTCTTCTTTGCAGTTTTGTTATTGGTGCAAAAGCGTTTTATTTTATTTATTTATTTGAAATTAAGCACAAAGCTACACAATGGGCTATCTGTGCACTGCCCACCACGAGTATCGAAACCCAGTTTCTAGCGTTGTAGGTCCGCAGACATGCCGCTGTGCCACTGGGGAGCAAAGGTGTTTTATAATTTTATACTGTCTTTGTTTAAAGATGCACAGTCTATAGTGTAAGGCTTATGTAATTCTGTGGGAATTTCATGTTAATTTTTGGCACTTATAATTAATGCAACTGATAGAGTATAAAGATCGTTAAAAAATATGGTTCCATTTTTGAAAGAATTTTGAAGGGCATTGAGCATGCGTAAATCTAGTTTTTGCGTCAAAATAAGTGAAGATATTATTTCAAAAGTTGCTAAAAAACATTGTCGTGTAACATATAAAAATGAAATATTTGGTGAGCTCTGCACAAATAAATATTTAAACTGTACGGTATTCGAAAGTAAAGCCAATAAGACCTGTTTTAATAGTTTTTTATGTTTCAATATTGTACAAAAAGTGGTTTTTAACTATTTTAGTGCACATTTTCCACACTTTTGTTCAAGTAATTAACTAAAATTGGAATTAAAAGCCAGTTCATAACTCCAGAAAATTAACTTCTATATCATCATCCGATTCATTGTCATCTAGGAGATTTCCTCGGAAAATATGTTTACAGCTTTCATCGTCCCCTTGACATCAACACATTTCCAAGCAAGATAAGTTGTTCTTCCTACAGGAACATGATGACGTCATTCACTTGCTGGCACCACATCTACATTTAACTAGCTCTATAATAGTTGCATGTAAAGGTACATTTGGATTTGCCGTGTTTTCGTTGCACTGTATCATTACTTAGTAGTTGGCTCCGAGAATGAACCACCTCAAAGTTGCACGAGCGGAAGGCAATTTTTCAGTCACTGCTTGGCTTTTTTGAAAAGATGCCATCTGATATTTTCTATATTAGTATGTTTGAACGTGGGCACTAGAGTTTACACACAAACTATTCCAGTCCATCAAACACTTCTTGGGTTGGAATATGTATTTTCCAAAACTGCTTAAAGTTTCAAGTACATTTTGCCTCGCTTTTAGCAGTGTATTACAGCATGTATGATTGCCCTTTACTACAAATCTTCCAGTTGTTTCCGATCCTGTGAAAGCATGGAATCCTGGTTCCAACTATTATATATATATATACCATCCAAGCTGTGGTTGTCTTCATACATCCACAACAAACACGTCTGTGCGAGAAGACATAATGTGAATTGTCTGACCTAGCTGTGATACATGCAAGATAAGAAGAGCATCTGCTACCCAACATTAAATTATATATTCAGCTCACGAAATGTATACACTAAAACGAATGTATATTAAATTATTTATATATATGTACGATTTACGCACTATAACTGGATAAAGTGGATCTGAAACAAAATAACAAAAGATCTAATACTATATGAGCTGAAATATAATTAGCTGCAATCCTAAATATATGTAAGAAGGATGGTATGAAATTGAACCCCTAAATGATGTTACGGGTGAACACATACTGACTGGAGTGCACATAAGTGAACATTTTACAATGTTACATCTGCACCTCAATATTAACTTTAGCAACAATCATATTTTCCATCTTTTTTAGGTCAAGACCTTTCATTTGATATGCCACATGAATATGTTTTGTAGACATTTTACACATAAAACTTAAATGACTTTGTACACCGATTGGATTTTGGGGATAGCAACAGTTTAGGACCTTCAAAGCCATCAGAAAAAATGGAACCAAACTTTTTTCTTAATCCTTATACAATAGAGATTACAAAAAGCATTGGTTCCAAAAATTGATATGCAATTCCCACTGGATTTGTTTTTACTACATATACCCCTGCACTACTATCTGAAAACAAAGAATGGGAAACACTGAAAAATTTTACAAAGACAGAAGAATTCAGAATGCTTCAACAATTGGTATAACAATTATATCTAAAAATAAATAGAGGAACTACTATTAGATAAAATAAGTGATTGTTCGTTCCTGGGGATGTCACCGCCAGCACTATATTCAACATACCGTAAGTAAGACCCGTTCACATATTTAAAACTACACCAGTTTGTATGTGTATTTTTAAGACACTTTTATTACAGTATTGAAGACAGATGTTTAGTATCTACGTGTTATCTGAATATAAATGAAATTATGAAATATTTAAGTCATTTTTTAGATAATAACTATAAATTTCGTTACCGATGAGATTTTTCGTTACATAAAAGTTGATAAAAATTGTTGTTATTTATATCATGTGATAATTTAGTTGTTCACTAGAAAGAGCTGTGAATCTTTATGACGTAATAATCGAGAAACTTTTTCTAATATCATGAGACAAGAGTACAATACTTATAAATACAAGTAAGTTAGTTAGTGAAGTTAATGAGTTATTGTGTGTTCAATGAGTGAGTCACTTCAAAGACAGTCACTTAGTTCAGAGTCATTGAAGTTATTCAGTGTTAGAAGTGAGAGTTATTGCATCTATTCATTGTTCAGTTACTGGGTGAATTAATATTGTTAAGTTTCCGTTCGTTAGTTAACTTTCCGTAAATTCGTTCCGACGAAACTTTAGCGACACAAGTCCTTTCTTAAATATTGTTTGTTTGTTTGTAATTAAGCACAAAGCTACACAATGGGCTATCTGTGCTCTGCCCACCACGGGTATCGAAACCCGGATTCTAGTGTTGTAAGTCCGCAGACATACCGCTGTGCCACTGGGGGGGGGGCTTTCTTAAATAAAACTGGTTTATTCTTTCTGAATATAAGTTTGCGATACACTTAATTTCAACAGTCGCGCTATAATTCTCAATGAACGTCTCACGTGCTCGACTCAACAATACTCCGTTCAATTACACACACCCTGACTGCAGTTCAATTACTCATTACCTGTTGTCCCGTCACGTTGTGAACGTCTTATATATACAAGACTAACACATATCTAGTAAATGCTAGGGCATTCCTGAAGGAACAGGATATTTCTAGAAAGAGGTGGCGTGATACTAGTCACGTGACCTCGCTGACGTAACAATATATTCGTGTTAATGTTATGGATTTTAACAAAATAAGCTAGGCCTTCATTAGTTTCAGAGCTTCTGTTGAAAAGTTTATTTATGAAATTAGGCTGCAGCAATCGTCACAACATTTATGTCAGAAGTAGGAATATTTGGGGAAAAACAAAATAACCAAATTTCAATTTGAGACAACCCGACCACAAAGCAAAATTGAAACTGTATTAGAAATGATGATGAAACAATTAAAAGGAGGTAAAAATTGAAAGAGACAAAGAATTAAAAGAAGACCAAGAAGAAATGAAAGAAAACTAAAAAAAAAAAAAGAAGACAAGAGGCTAGAGATGGAAATTTAAGAGCAGACTTAAAAGAAACTTGAAATTTAAAAAGAATTAAGATTAAAAATAAATCTGATTGCAAACAAAATTATTGGAGTTATTATAGATGTACAGAGGAATCACAACAATTAAATTGAAGGAGTACGGAATGACATCAGTGAAGTACATAAAAACTGTAATGACAAATTTGATGAAGTACAGAAAGATTATAACAACAAAATCAATGAGGTAGAAAATAACATCAACGATGGAATAAAACATTTGAAAAGGCGAGCATGTTCGGTGACGGGAGAAAAAACACGACGACAGAAAAGTGTTTTGGCTTCTAACTTTCTATAGTTGACTAACGTCACTCCTCGTTTCAAGGGTGGTAATATAAATTGTCCCAGTAAGAA